GGCGACCGAAAAAAAACACAGCAAGGGGCCAAAGGGGGACCCGAACCCGGGCCCCCCGGAGGGGGAGGCGGACGCCTTGCCCCCTCCCCCAATAAAGGACCCAAAACGCCTAGGGCGCAAAACCCCCCCCCACGTGGCAGGCCCCCATCCCCCTTTTAAAGACCCCCCCCCCCCCCCGACTGCCCCACCCCCCTCACCCGCTCAGGATATAATTTCAACCAGCAACGGTACAGTTTAGGCGCTCATGGTTGAAGTTTCATAAGGAAGCAAAGTTCGACCCTTGCTAGCAACTCATTTCAAACAACCTGGTGCTACCAGTAGTCCCAGTCGGGGAGTTCGGATGTGACGTCACCCGTCAAGCTCGCCTGAAATGCTTGGTAAAAGACTTCAAATGCAAACACCACATGTCGTTTTTACCATCTGAAAAGGTCCAAAAATGGATTTAACTCGTAGCTCCAAAATGTTTCATTAACCTCAGAGAAGAAGGACAGATTTTCGTCCAGGCATTATCCGGGACTTTCTTTTCCTATTTTGTTTGTGTGGGTGCCATGCCTAGCGTTATCGCGCTAGGTTCCAAGCCTCCTCCATTCACTCTCATAGCGCAAGTTGGTCTGAATACGAGGGCGGGTGTTAGAGATACGGAGAGCATTTTTGTTTGCTTAGTATTCATTTCTTTAGTAATAGTTTAAAATATTCCAGTCACTCGAGCTCGTCCGTAATTTTGTAATGTTAAAACATGGATTTCTTGTGTTTACAAAATGAAGACCCAAGTCTCCCTTTGTTCGACCCTAAAGCAAACGAAATTGATGGGCCCTCGTTAAAACCCTTTGTTCTACGTTTAAGCCGCCAGTCGACAAAATTTATGAGGTCTTCGCTCACCTCAAACACCCTTGTTAAAATGAGTTGAACAAAGGTTATTAGCGAGGGTCTTCCTTTTGTAGAGAGATAGACATTTATACAAAACCGTAAAACCCCATAGATTTCTCTGATAACCTGCTAGCAAAGATTTCTTTCCGGCATGGTTTTTAGGATGGTTGATGGTTTGTGTCAGTGGGTAGAGACGTGTAAACTCTACAGAAATGATCAAGCTAATATAAAATTTCTCTACATGTCACTACTGATACCATTGTGTTTTGATATTGCTTTAATTTCTCAATAATCTAATGTGTAAAGTTGTACAAATCCTTTCTCCTGAAAATGCTTTTTTGCTTTCACTTAGTTGTTATATATAAAGCAACAGACTAGGATTATTAACAGCTTCTGTTTAGGAAATGCGCCTGCGCGAAGACTTGACTTGAGAAAACAGCAGAAACTAACTCTAGCTTTCTATGATTGGTTTTATAGCATAATCCTATTGTCCAGCATGGTTTATTACACACACCACAGTAAACCTATAGATAGTTCAGACAGCTGCGATTGAAGACAAAATACTTCATAATTATATATTTGTCAATATGACTTTGTTCTTTGCGCAATTATCAAAAAGCACAGTGTTAAATAGAAAATGTTATAATTTATATGTAGCCGATTTTTTGAAAACCAACCTAACGAAATTTGCAGTCATTTGAGTGAAAAAGCGTCAAAAGGCATGTTTCTTAAGCCCGGGAAGCTCCAAAATCACAGTAACGAAGGAAAAAGGAAAAAAAGAAAGAGCGAGGAGAAGGAAAGGAGGAGAAGAGAAAAAAGCATTGGTTGCACTCTCAGTTTTTATAATAGCTACTTTGAAGATAGTTTTTGGCCGGAAAAAACTGTTCGACGCAAAAGGTCCATTTGACGATAACGTTATCAAAAATCCAGCTAGATATATATAACGTTACTTAAATATCTATATATATGACTTTTAAAAGATAATTCGAACTATTTACTACTTACACTGTCTTAAAACGTTTCTGAAGGAAAGTTTAAAAAAAAGTTCGACTGAAAACTTTCATTGTTAAGATCCAGAAAACTGCAGTCTTAAGATTTATTTTCTCTCAGTGTACCATCCATTCAAGCGTAGTTGAATAGAAAGTTTTCCATATTGAAGAAGGCGTCTCAAAAACCTCTGTATAAAATATTTCAGCCCAAGATAACATTACTGATTGTCCTTTGCTCGTAGTTTTTTCACCAGTTCTTGAAAGTTGAATTCCTCCTCGTCATGATATTCAAAGTTTTCGACTCCTTCAAACTCAGCCCTCAGGAATTCATTTGTCCTGGCATAACTTGTCTTCTCCCAAACATTGAGATCATCAGGACACCTACAAAAGGCAATGATATTTCAGCATTCGATAGTCTGTCTTTATGGCAGCCCGAGCAAGAGACGCTTTAACAAACATTTACTACAAGAAAAGAAAGATGAAAGAAACAGTATACCATCCCGCATTTATAATGTTGGGGGGTGGTTGTTTTGGGGTTAGGTTTTGTTGTGGAGAGGTCGGTCTTCACTCAGTTTACCTTTTTTTTTTCATTAACTTACAAAACAATTCCACCTGGTTTTCGTGGGGTTGCCTGGGTGTGTCCATTAAGCTAGGGTAAATTTTTGTGGGGATCAAAAAGAAAAAAAAAAGAAAAAGAAAGAAAAAAACATTCTTGATTGCAACAACCTTAAACTATAATTGTATATTTGGAATAACTATTAACGTGCTTGTCAGTATAATTCGCCAAGTAAACATTTTGGTTTGTCTACGGGAAGTTAAATTTTAAAACTGTAAGGGTTGACAAATTCTTATTTTACATAGACTGATTGTATATAGAGAATACTTCTTGGAAAGCGCTGGCGTACGGTATTTACACACGAGTTGTTTTTGTATCAGAAATCGAACGAGTGAGCACAGCGAGTTCTAGCCAATCAGAGGAGTGAACTATGGTTTTCACACGTGAAAAAAATGATACGTCCAATCAGAATCGCGAACGATGTTTTTTCACATGTGAGAAAAAGCATACGTCCAATCAGAATTAACGAGTGCGTAAATACCGTACGAAGCACTTTACAAGTGGTATTGTGTTTATTGTATACATACTGAGACATTCATCATTTTGGTGGCCTTTTTATTTTAAATCTTTCCAAAATGCTTAAATTTGCCCCTAAACACCACGAAATAACAATGAAAACGAAGTATCAGCTTTTTAGTAGAAACGTTTCTCAAAAATATAAATGACGGTAAGGATATGAGGTAATCCAAGAACTACAAGTAATCTTAACTGTTTGTTCTGAATGTAAAATTGAAAATGAGTGAATTTAAGTAAAATGGCCGGTTTCAATATAAGCTTAAGCTTATAAATGGAAGACAAAGTAGCTCCGACAAAAAGCACAACATAAGCTTACGTCTTGTTCTGTTTTTCCCCTTCCGCTGTTGTTTCGCCGGCTCTCCACAGTTTTCTTTATCGACAGTAAAACAAACGAAACTACTCCACTCCATTTCTGAAATGTTTTTCACTTTTTTAAAAATCTTTGAGAAAAACTTTTCTCCTCGAATGTGTGCGAAGGGGTGCTTATCAAGCAGCAAGAAAAGGCGTTAATTTTGGCGCGAAACTGACATACCTCTGTGGCTTCTGATTGGACGTATCATTTTTCTCACATGTGAAAAAACATCGTTCGCGATTCTGATTGGACGTATCATTTTTTTCACGTGTGAAAACCATAGTTTATTCCTCTGATTGGCTAGAACTCGTTTGCGTATCAAAATTTACAACACAACTTTTTGGTGAGTATTTCTCAGTATGTATATAATAATAAAGATGACTACATTATAAAAAGAGCAATCTGTGTGGAATATACCTCGTCCTAAAGATAACAACCTATCACAAACATCCGCTAGAAGGCATTCTCTTCACAACTCAATAAATACAGTACCACAAGTGAAGAGTAAAACAATATGTTTTTCACCTCTCACCTATATTTCGACCGTGTAAAACGGGCGTCATCAGGGTGAATGGCCGTTACAAGCATTACACACCATTATTACATGATAACGAACAAATTTGAAAATTTGCACGCGCTACAAAGTAAGATAAACACGCGCGCGCTTTTACCGGAAGCGAGACCTAGTTGCCCTATTCTGGCTGTAAAAAAGAAATCACTTATATTCAAGCCCTGAGGCTGAATACAGTCCAACCTTTAGGCCCACTGACCTTCTTTATCCTGGAGAGCTGATTCTTCCCTGGACACTCTGTCCTAAAGATATTTATATTTTGCTGCTCAGCACCAGTTGCATACAGTTGTAGTTCAATCTTCCTTTCGCCCCATGTAAGGGAATCCAGGACAGTGTTGGATTCTGGATTCCAGGTACTGAATTCCAGTACTTTTCAGTAGAACTTGGATTCTGGATTCCAATCGCTAGTGGGATTCCAGATTCCTTAAGCTGTAGTCCGAATTCCAAAACCTGGGATTCCGGATTCCATAAGCAAGGATTTCCCCGATTCCCGAATCCGGAATCCCTTACATGGGGCGAATCCTTGGTTTAAATTTTATTTTCCTTTGGTTTGGGTTATGGTAATGTACGATAATTAGTTTGGAACAAAGAAAATAAAATTTAAACCAAGGATAAAATTAAACCCAACATGTACGTGACCCCGGCCATTCCTAGGGAGATACCTAATTGGATACCTGATTGGATTTCATAACTTTGCCTTTCAGAAGGGGTTGTTTAATAAGCTAACGAAAGAATACCTGAATGACCCAAATTATCTTTTTAGCCCTAAAAACAATCGCAGGTACGTTTTCTAAGCCCAGTGAACATAGGGTTTTATAAAAAACAAACAAACAAACAAGTAAACCAACGTTACCAATAGATGTATCCCGCAACATTCTTGGTAAAACCATTTCTTCGTGTAAACCTAACGTCAAAAAGGATGAAACGAGCTCACCAAGACTAACGAGGTCCTCTTTCATTTAATTGAAAACAACCTCGTTTGTTTCCTGGGTATTATCTGGAAGCGGATCGGTATATTTCTTCAAAACGATCTCTTTCCTGTTCTCGATCTTCATGATTGCATAGGCATATTGACGCCTCAACTTGATAGCAGTGAAAATGTCTTTGCATTCATCAGCTATTGGAAACTGAAAATAAATGAAAAAAGAAAACTAATGTCAGCCCGACTAACGAATATGGGCCATGAGGTATTGTATGACTATTATCGTGGTGAAGCTTCAATTATACTATTATCTAAGTTCAGAAAGAAAGTTAACAAAGACCTTTTTAGCAATAATTCCTTGTACTGAAATAGAGCTAGAGAGTGCTGCGTATTTTGTTCTTTGGAAAACATTATTTGATTCAGAAGGCGGCAGTTTTAATTCCATATTACCCTTTGGCGTAATAGTCGCCTTCTGCCACGCTTTTGCATTCTCGGCAGTTGGCCGGATACAGCATTAAGGGCACCACTCTCATGTGTTACTCTGCTCGTCCATTTAGCCAGTAGTCCTTGATGAACAACGACAATTCTTTTTTGGGCCGTCATGTTGGCGAACTTAAGCAATGGAAAGTAAAACAGTTTATGAAAGTTTATCTTTTCTCTCCTCAGTGCTTACTCAATAACAGCATGGGTTAAAACCGACAAACTTGTCTCAGTCAGAAGCGATGCGTTGAGCGGGAACACCGAATTTCCGGTTGCTATTCATCAGTTGCCTCCTGGACGACAGCGTTCTCGCTTAAACTGGCCATAGTATAGAAGGAAGTCGATGTTTAAGCATAGGCGGTTTACATAAGCTCAATTTAAAAAGCAGTGAAACTAGACCTACGCAGGAAATATACCTTAAAATAATAGGGTGTGGTTAATAAATAGCGCCATCACAAAGTAGTTACACTTGCAAAACTACGCAATGTTCGTAAGGTACCAGTTCTGTTAAGCATTTAATTAATAGTAACAACAGAGAATGTTAAGTTCTATCAGCATTACTACTTACCATTGTAATGGTTGATTGTGACTTCAATTTTTTTTCAAAGTCTTTGGAAAGAAAAAAGTTAAAAATTGTTTACTATCAGGTGAGGTAATTAGCAAATCAGTCTTATTATCAATATGTGCAGAAAACATGGCTGTTCATAGATGGAACACTTTACAGCAAAAAAAAAAAAAAAGAAAGATTTTAAAGCACGTAATAAATTGTATAAAGAAATTTAGCAACTTGAGCTTTCCACTAATGATGTTATAAATATTTAGACTCCAAAGAGTCACTTGAAACATAGTTAGGTACCTTACCAGTCAATGACTTGCCTCTGTTAGACCTCCTATGAACAGAGATGGACTGAGCTGACTTCCAACTTTCTTTTTTTGCTTGATAACAACCTTGCTATAATTGTGTATATATATGTTCCCGGTGTGATGTACTATTTCTACATTTGGAATTACTCATTTGCTCTAGACTGTGGGTTTTCCCCGAGATCTTTTACTCCGAAACATGTTTAGTGTATCCTTATAAGGAAAAGCCAGTTTGGAAACGAGCTTAATAGATCGAGCGATGGGAATTACGCAATAACGTAAATTTGCATAAACTAAATTTTTAACGGTTGATTTGTAATTCTTTTGTAGAAGGTAGATAAAAAAAACCATAAGCATGCAAAGAACTTTTCTCTATTAATCAATTTTCAGTTAATGTTTTTGATAGCAACTTGAAAAATTAACAAACGAAAATGTAAAATTCACTTTTACTGACTAAGTGTTTCAAGGCCAAACAGGAGTAGATTGTTTCAATGGAACAAGTGCTTTTGATATGCGTAGTAACTATGGAGCTTTTCCTGAATTTCTATGTACTAGTGTTTATCACTTATCAGTCTGGCATGTCAAAATGTCTCAGGTCAGGTGAAAAAAAATTGGTTCGAAATTTTAATGTGGATTTCAACGAGAGAAAACATTGAACTGTCTGATTATCGTGGGCTGTATTAAAGCTCACTCCGCGCATGATGAATTTTGTCTCAATGTTAGGAAACGACATATCTACCTGGTCGTGCGTCACGACATTCAATAGAATGGAAGCTTGAGGTCTGTAGCTGTATGAGTTTGTGAAATAGATGAAATTTAACTTTTGGAGACTTTTTATAGAATAAAGATAAGGAAACCCTTTCTTTTCATAAGGGGAAATCCTGCAAAAAACTTTCACATTTTCCATGGATTCCAATCAAGGTTACATGCGTTGTCGTAATCAAAGTACTATGTAGTCTGTGAATAATATAAAGAAGTAATGCCGTTATGAGAATAATAAGAGTTAAATGCCGTTCATTTAGTCCACTCTCTTGTCTCTGTAATTTAATTTTTCAGTTGTTTCATGACTTTTTCCGAAGTGAGAAGGACTTGCGTATAGCGTGACTTCATCAAAACAGAATTGCGTGATCGCGTGATCCGGGAAAGGGTCGAATTCTGCAGGCGCGCTCATATATCATCACGCCTCACGCTTTGGAAAAACGGCCACGTTACCCTTGCCGATTATGGTGTAAGGAAAATGTTATGACAGTCTAACAGGTAGTGAGCTCTCTCCGGGTGATTTGAATTCCTCTCCTTTTTTGTCGCTTCTTATTTATTTCTTTAGTCACATTTTGAAATGTTCCATTCACTCGTCAGAAACTAACATGTATCTCCGTGAAGGCTTCGGGCTGATTATATTGATCGAGTTGGCCAACCGTGTTAAAGTCTTGATCGCCATTGGATTCGCCGACATTTCACTAGACAAATTGTACTGAAATGTTATGGAGAAACATGTTTTGTTCTGCTCAAACAATCTAACGGTGCAATGCATAGGAACTGAATATATACAGAAACATAAGTTAACTTTTATTGCCTTAAGATTCTTAGCCAGAGAATTTTGATATCCTTGTGCAGGAAGCAGTAACTTAAATTGAAAACTATCATTGAATCTTAATATAGAATTAAGCCAACTAGCTTGTAAGGCAGCTTTTGAAAGGGAAAAGAGAAGGGGATTGAAAGCTCGTGCGAGCACAAAAAGGGCACCCGCTTTCTCTTTCCTCGCGTTCCGATCACGTTCTCGTGCACCTTATTCCTCTCTATCCCTTTCTCTTCAATCGTCTGTCGACGCAGGTTGGAACTCAACGAGACCTTGTAATCTAGGCTACTTTTCCTATAAAGCACATCTTGTTACAGGCTATTCAGCGGTAAAGCTTAATGCTTACAAAAGACTTAAGTTGATTAATAACAAAGTTGACAACAAAGAAGTCTGTCAAAAAGTCACAGGTAAGCGAGATCCACGAGACAACTGATACATCCGTTTCTTTAACTTCATTGCTTCTCGCGGAATGTTCATTACGTTAGTGAGGAAAATCTTCGGACCCCAGAAGGTCGTCGTGGTAATAGAGAGTCGTACCGCTATCTGCCTTCCTTATAAGCACCTTCTGCTCTTCTTGTGGCAGATGCCATTTTTGGACAGATTTATCTCTTCCAACATTACAGCAATTGCGTTCCTTATCCTTGTTGATGAAGTCCCTGGCTTTTTCATATGAAGTAGTTTTTCCTTCGTTGACGCAGTTAGTGGGTTTATAACCTCGTAGCTTTTGATACGCTGAACCCAAAACCTCTTCTTCAGACATGGTGATCGAACGACTCGAGTTCCAACGACCTGCAAAATACACATAAAGTAATTGCTGAACCACACAAGATGGGCTTTTACTCAATGAAGCGCACTTATTCAAAGGGATGCTCAGTAGGTTTTCCACAGGTGTTGTTAAAAAACTGAAACATTATTTTAGCTAAATATACATCTTCTAGCACATACTTGATTTCAGTTGATGCAGAACTGCTGTCAAAGTGCTTAATAGAAAGACTAGAACGGGAATACCAGAAGTAAAATGTTTTATCACCTGAAGATTTGACTAGTCAAATAAAAAATTGTTNTACCGCTATCTGCCTTCCTTATAAGCACCTTCTGCTCTTCTTGTGGCAGATGCCATTTTTGGACAGATTTATCTCTTCCAACATTACAGCAATTGCGTTCCTTATCCTTGTTGATGAAGTCCTTGGCTTTTTCATATGAAGTAGTTTTTCCTTCGTTGACGCAGTTAGTGGGTTTATAACCTCGTAGCTTTTGATACGCTGAACCCAAAACCTCTTCTTCAGACAT